AATTGGTTTATTGATGTAAAATTTAAATATATAGTAGCTGAAGAAGCACAAGTATGTGCAGAAACGTACCACATAATTTCTAATCAAGAATTTTAATTTATTTGGTTTCCATCCACACATTGTAGCTCATATTAGCCTTTTAATTATTAGTTATTTTTCAATTTAACGAGCGTGATTTTTATACTCATTGTTAGAATTATTTCAATTTCGAGAATAGAATTGAGTGCTTGAAAACATCTTCACTACTGTTTAATATGCCATGCCTGAGTGCGCGAAATTCGGACGGTTTGATTAGTCAATTATAAATCTTTCTTATTTGAAAACTATTGTAGCTTCGACATTTTACTATTAGGATTTTCATCTCGAAATGATCTCAAGAAACTCCCATTAACGGGTGGCACGTCAAGTCTGGAAAACCCTGTATACATATACCATGTCTTTTGATGAATTTTTAGAAATTGTTAAAATTTATGCACTTTACCTAATCATTTAATTTTTTTAAAAAATAATATTGTTTTTATACTTAAGCAGTACCATCTAGTTCTTAATGCCCTAAAATATTTAAATTTTCAAATTCAATGTATTTGAAGCTAAATTGGTGACTCACAATATAATTTCTCTGATTTCATATTAACTTGACTTCTTCATTCTCTATAAAATTATCTTACTAAAAATACACATATTAAATACTCAATTATAATGGAAGAATAGGTTCAGAGATTTAAATTTTATTTTTTTTAACTTTTTAAATTTTACCTTCTTCTTTAATAAATATAAAAGAAAATATATTTTATTTATATTTATATATATTTACACATTTTGATTTTATTTCATCTTATTTAATGAGATATATATATATATATATATATATATATATTTGATGATATATTTGATACACATATAACATGAGAAGAAAAATAGTTAAAAAAAACAATATTTTGAAATACAGAAAAATTGAGATAAAAAAATGTACATGTATATAAAAAGATTTGTGTGACAATATTATTCAAATGTATTATACATATATTTAAAACGATATAAAAGAATTTTTAGAAAATACAAAATAAACATACAGAAGTAAAAATTTAGGATTACAATTATTATTACATTAAATCTTGTTATACTATTTGTTATATTACAATACAATTAAAATAATTAATATATATAACATTATAAATGTGTTAACGTTAAAATAATAATAATCGTCAAAATTAATGAAAAGAGTAATTCTAATATTAATACTAATATTACTATTAATATTAATATATTAATACTAATATTACTATTAATATTAATATTTATTAAAAGATGTAAAAATCTCTGAAGTCACCAGATGATAATTAAAAATGGTAGTAATTTAATCAACCAACTCTGGCTATTTAATATATCTTTATTTAATATTCACGACGTTTCGGCCATGGGTTTTGGCCCTTATCAAGTGCTACAAATTATAATAATGACAATTATTAGAAAATTAAAATTAAAAAATTAATTAAAAAGTAACTGAGTAACAATAATTATTTCCACACATTAATATGTATCCTACCTTAAACACAACTTTCTATATATAAACTTAATTTCTGATCTTAAAATGTGACATGATATACAGGGTTTGTCCGGAAAGTAATGCGTCGCATTTTTTTAAAAAAGAATTTATTGATCGCATAGGTAAAACAACTTAAAATTGTTCGAAGTATGACCCTTCTGCGTCAATACATTTTTGCCAACGCGATTTCCATGCGTCATAAGATTTCTGGAACTCCTTGACTGGGATGCTGTTCAGGGAGGCCGTCGAAGTAGCTTGTACGTTGTCAACCGACTCGAGCTGTTGTCCTTTGAGCTCCCTTTTCAGCCGAGGAAATAAAAAAAAGTCCGCCGGGGCCAAGTCGGGACTGTAGGGCGGCTGCTTGAGTTCTTCACAAACTTCCACTCGGTGTTGCTTTTGCGCATCGGTCAACACTCTGGGCACAAGTTTTGCGCAAATCTTCCGCATGGCCAAGTCTTCCGATACAATCTCGTGAACAATCGTTTTCGGCAAGTTCAATAATTCCGACATTAAGCGAACATTCATTCGACGGTCTGAATTCAATAATTGGCGCACACGAGTCACATTGTCGTCCGTTCGCGATGTTGACGGGCGTCCTGCGCGGGCCTCGTCGGCGACCTCCTTCCGACCTTCTCTAAACATCTTGTGCCATCTGTTTGACTGCGATTTGGAAAGGCAATCGTCCCCGAAAACTTTCTTGAGCATTTCAAAAGTTTCCAGCGGCGTCTTGTCCAGCTTCACGCAAAACTTTATCGCATAGCGTTGCTCTATCGTTCTCTCCATCACAAGTTCGACGCGACCACTAAGCAGAGGTTCACAGAATAAGCCGTCCTAACCCTCCAAGCGCATGGAAACAATTGAGCGACCTACCGTTGGAAAGCTAAGGGTACCCCCCTTCCTCCCCAACCGGTCCCATCGCTCTGCGATGTATAGTCGCGTCACAAAAAAATGCGACGCATTACTTTCCGGACAAACCCTGTATGTAATGTGAAACAATTAACTATATTGTTGTGTTGGTTACAAGCTCTTTATATACTCATTACTTCGATCAAACTAAACGACCTTTATTAGTTTATCGTAAACAATATTTAGATTATCCGTGTCTTTTTGTAAATTGATTGTGTTGTCAAATTTTTTGATAAAAAACATCTCCGCGATTTCTCTTTTTCGTACATATTTCTCATGATGTAAAATTTCAGGAGCGGACCAATCAAAATCATGACCATTATCGAATTTATGATTACTAATAACCGAATAATTACTATTGTGTACCTTTATGTTATTAAAATGTTCTTTTATGCGTGTGCCTAATTGTCGTTTAGTCTGACCGACGTATGATGAGGAACAATTTGCGCAGTTAATTTTGTATACAACTCCTGTTTTTTCTTTTAAGGGCAAAGGATCTTTGACACGTTTGATTAGTGTATTCAATTTTTTCGGTATACAATAAACGCATTGCATGCCCGTAGATTGCAATAATCTCGAAACGTCTTCACTTAATTCTTTGACGTACGGTAATTTTATAATGTGGTCAAATTTTTCACTGACTAAATTATCATTGTCAACATTGCGATCATCATTTTTTCGTGTCTCAAGTAATTTTAGCCTATTTTTTACATACTTATTAACCACATTCGACGGAAAACCATTGTTTATCAGTATCGATTTAACCCTAGCGATGTTTGCTGGATGAAAACTGTCGTCCGATAATAAAATCGCATGATCGACCAGACTAAAAATGGTATTCTTTTTGTATTTAAAGGGATGGTTTGAATAATAATTGATATATCTACCCGAACAAGTGGGTTTCATAAACCAATTAGTTAGTAGAATACCATTCTTTCTCATCACAGTAGTGTTCAAAAAATTAATCGAGTCGTTACTTTCAATTTCGTGAGTAAATTTTAATCTAGGATGGTAATCATTAAACACCGACAAAATTTCATCAACACCCTCGCATGGGATAATTGCAAAAATATCATCCACATATCTGCAGAACCACGTGGTTTTGAAACTCAATCTTTCTAGGCAGTTAGTCTCTAAATCGTCCATTACGATATCCGCTAATATGGGTGAGAGCGGAGACCCCATAGGACTGCCAAAAATCTGTTCATAATACTGTCCATTAAAAACAAAACTAGTAGAGTCTAATATGAACTCAATCACATATAAAAATTGGGAAAGATTGAATTTCGTATTGGTTGAAATGTCCATCCAACGCTTTTTTACGCCGCTGATTACTAACTCTTTCGGAATGTTCGTAAACAGGGAGGTAACGTCTAATGACACTAGTAATTCGTTATCAGTAATCACCTTATTCTTAATACTCTCGACGAAGGACCAACCGTCCTTAACAAAAGATCCCGGTTTCTTAATCGAATTAACAAGTATATTATGGATGTAGTTAGAAAGATTATACAACGGACTACATAATGAAGACACTATAATTCGTAATGGACAATCGATTTTGTGGATTTTCGGTAATCCGTAACATCGTGGTAAGTTCCCGTTGGTTACATTTAAATAATTATAAGTGGTCATGTCTATCAATTCATTATCGAGCCAAGACTTGATGAGAGAATGCATTTTATTAGTTAATTTTTTGACAGGATTTTTATTGATTTTTCTGTAAGTCGATTTGTCATTTAATAAAACTTCCATCTTTTCCATATAGTCAATCTTATTAAGGATCACCGTCGTTTGTCCCTTGTCAGCCTTAGTAACAATAATATCATCGTTATCCTTTAGAAACTTTTTTGACTCAAAAAAACATCTGAGAATATACTTGTCTATAAAATTAATATGCCTTTGTGTGGTTAAAAAATTCCTGATAGAATTAGCTACCGAAATCCTAGTTGTTTCACGTAAGTTAGAAGGAATCCCGTCAATACTCACCTCTAGACTTTTAATTATCTCAAGTGCGGTACTAACACGATCCCTCCCAACACCTTGTTGTATTGGTAAACCGAAATTATCACCAAGGCTTAACAAATCAAGTACTTTATCCGGTATCACTTTATTACTGAGATTACTAATCCATTTGGATTTGTCCATATAAATAAAAGGATTCACGACTACATTATTCTTACGTAGCAATGCATTGAATTTATTAATTAATTTGTTTTTTGTCATATTTTTAAAAATCAAAATTCTCTCCCTATTAAGTTCAGTAAAATTCGTGAGTAACTGTCGAGGTAAAGAGTCAAAAAGTCTACGCTCGATAATATTACGTCGTGAATATTAAATAAAGATATATTAAATAGCCAGAGTTGGTTGATTAAATTACTACCATTATTAATATTTATTATTACATTAAATATAATTTTTAAATATTAATAAGTTAATAAAGTATTAATTATACTTTATAAAGTTCATACCTTGTATAGATTAATATTAATATATAATATTTGCCAAACATCTGTGTATTACTATTAAATATTTAATAGATAGTTATACATAAAAACAGTACACATAATATTATTGTATATAGGTATGTATAAACAGTTCGTTAATTGAAATATTGTTGGTGTATTTATTGAAGTTAAATTTTTAGCGGATATAGATCTATTAAAGCTTTGCAGTCTTTGCATACATATCTTCATAAAATTTCATCTGACTGAACAGTTTTTCAGAACGTGCCTTTAACTTGTTTTTAACACTCAAAGTAAAATGCTGATTATGAATTGCAAATTTTTGTATCTACAATAAATTTTATTTTTTACTAAGCAGTAATTTTATAATTAATTATTTTATAAAAGAAATTGCGACAATTTTTTAAACTATTAGCATAATGTATATATGTATATATATATATATATATATATATATATATATATATATATGTATATATATGACTGTATATGTCTATATGAGATATTTAAAGGAAAAAAATTGTTCATTATATATGTATATTTGATATAAATTAATACAATTGTCGCTCGTATATTGAAAACAAAGTGATAAATATAAGGCCAACTTATCGAGCTGAATATTCGAGATGTTCAGTCAACTACCATTTATTACATGTATAAATTATAAAACTACAGTCATTATATTAAAACTAACGCAAATTACAATCATTCTATAAACGTTTCGACCGCACGCGGTCTTCTTCAGTATAATTATTGAAATATAAATTCTTACAATTCACATAATATCGAAATTTAATTATAGTTATTCAGAATCAAGAGTTTTTGAGCAATTAACGCGTGTTTTAATCCGTCCTGTCCAACAATGTTCGCCTCGATATGATCCCTGATTTTGTTCAGATCTCGGATAGTTTCATCGTTAATATGCGAGAAATTAACCCGTTCCGTAGGCGCTGCGATTAATAAAAAATTACCGATCAACGTATGTCCAAATTATAATATGTATCCCCTACAATTGGTAGTATGCTTACCTATCATCGTTCTTCTTGACAATTTTGCTACTTATTAACAGTTATTAAGGATGACACATAACAAACCAACAATACAGAAAGACAGCTCATTTTAAACTCTACTTGATCGGAGAGCGTGCGTGTTTATATATGATCTAATATCTATGTTTTACTCGTTAATGTCCTATTTGTCCTATTATTATTTCTTGTTCGCTAATATATCCAAAATATCAAAATACGACTCGCTAAGTAACTCAGTATCTTTGTTTAAATTTAGTCCATTTTTTTGTTCCTTGATATGTAGCATCTCAGAAATGAGTCTTTTATAATAATTATTTTCGTTGTCCATGATCTTAACATTGTCCCAATTAAAAGTATGATGTTCATTTATTATGTGTTCAGAAATTACTGAATGTTTCGTTGAGTCCAATCTAATATTATTTTTATGTTCTTTCATTCGCGTCTGCAATTGCCTCTTTGTTTGGCCTACATAAGATGCATTACAATTATTGCAACTGATCTTATAAACCACATTCGAATTGCATGGATGTTTAGTTTTATCTTTCTGCGCTTTAATAATATTATCCAGTTTGTTGAGACATCTATACCCTACCATACAATTTTTATTTTTTACCGAGGAAACAATCATTTCTGAGATCCCATCTATATACGGAATGACAAAGAATTTTTTATTGACCGAGTCATTTCCTATACTTTTTGTTCTTTCTATGTTGGCCTGTCTCTCTATAATGCTCCCCTTAGATATGATGTGTTCTATCCGATGATTAATTTTGTTAAAAATCAGATCAAGAGGGTAACCATTGCTTCTGAGTATATTAATAATTAACTCCAAATTTTTATTAAAAAATAGTGGATGTGATAGCAATAGACATCTGTCTACAAGGTTATATATTATTCCAATTTTGTGGCATAATGGGTGGTTTGAATAAAATGATAACGTCCTTCCTGAGAAGGTTTCTTTTTGATACCAGTCTATATATATTTTGTTATTAATAATTTTAAGTGATAAATCTAAGAAATTCAAGCTATGGTTAACCTCTTGTTCGACCGTGAATTTAAGTCTTTCATGATAGTTGTTAAAATTATTCACAATCTGAGTCATATTAGTCATAGAGGTGGCCACTATTATGTCATCCACATAACGAAAATAAAACAAACATTCCAAATTCAACGCTTTGAGAACTGTATCCTCAAGATCTTGCATAACCAGGTCTGCAATAATTGGTGATAACGGTGACCCCATAGGGGTCCCAAACGTCTGTTTATAAATTATGTCATCAAATGTAAAATATGTAGAAGTCAATATGAATTTTATACCCCCCAAAAATTCGTTTTTCGGTATTTTAGTATTTATTCCAATGTGATCCCATCTATCGTTAATACCGTCAATCGCAAGATCCAGAGGAACGTTCGTAAACAAAGACACCACATCCAAGGAAAACATCCTATCATTCTCATCAATCTTTTTACCAGACAATATGCTGTACAAATCAAAACTATTATTAATATGACTTTTCGCTTTGGGTAGGCTAGTTCGTAAGGTGTTTTGTAAAAACGAAGCCAGCGAGTATAGAGCTGTATCAACCGATGAAACTATGATTCTAACTGGATAGTTTTCCTTATGGATTTTAGGTAATCCATACGCTTTTGGAAGGAGAGAATCACTACAACGTAATTTATAATATTCGTTTTTTGAAATATAATCTTCCTTAAGCCATCTCTTCAACAAATCATTCAAATCGTTCTCTATTTTTTTGCACGGATTTTTTTTAACAATAGTGTAAGTGTTGACATCTTTTAAAACGTTTTCCATTTTGTTAATATAATGAGATCTTTCCATTGCCACCGTAGCATTACCCTTGTCCGCGCGTGTGAATAGAACATTCGGATTGTCTTTACAAAATTTTATTAAATCTCTGTGTGCACCAAGTAATTTTTGTTGACTTACGTCATTTTTATCCTTCGTGTTCAGAAGTTGTGCAAATTTTGGAACCGCGATATTTCTGATCGTTGTGAGATTATTAATATTATTTCGTTTGCTATTACTCTCTATGTCCTTGATGAATTCATGTATCGCTGTTTTTTTACTAATATTCGGAAGACAGAATTTATCACCCATTTGCAACAGATTAGAAACGTTAGGCGGAATGTCTGTGTTGGAAAGATTAACAAACCATTTTTTATTAGTATTTTCCAAAGGGTTAATTGTATCATTGAGAAATTTATTGGCTTCTATGTGTATATTGATCTCCTTGGCATCATTAGTGATTGCCCTGAGAGAATTTTGTGATATTTTCGTCGGTTGTGAAGTTTCAAAATGTAAAGAACAATGTATATCTATAGGTTTGATGCTGTTGATATACTTATAGTGTTGTTTTCTCTTAAGCCAATTGAATTTCTTTTCGTGTGCAGTAACCAATCTGTTGTGGCAATTTTTAAAAGCAATGTTATGATGTTTGAAAATTCTATTCCACGCGAGTACAGGTAAACGATTAAATAACCCGCTGGTGAGATGAAAAATCCTATTTTGTAATGACTCTACCTGTCTATGCAAATCAAAGATTTCAATGCTCATCGCATTTGTTTTGAATTTGTACAACATACTATCTAGTCTTCTGATCGATCTGTGATGAAAAACGTTAAATTTAATGCGGCAAAAACCTTCTAAATGTGTAGGAAAAATATCGCCATTTTTACAATTTCTTAAAAATTCCAATTTTGCTCTCGCTCTTATTAACAAATAATTCGCATTAATCCATTGTTTAAAATAATCTGCGGTTATTCTTCCAAAAACTTTATGAATAAAATTAAAATTAAAATAGTAATCAGTCCGTTTTGTGTTAAATTGACGCATTGTAAGGCGATGAAACTATCCGAGATCTGAACAAAATCAGGGATCATATCGAGGCGAACATTGTTGGACAGGACGGATTAAAACACGCGTTAATTGCTCAAAAACTCTTGATTCTGAATAACTATAATTAAATTTCGATATTATGTGAATTGTAAGAATTTATATTTCAATAATTATACTGAAGAAGACCGCGTGCGGTCGAAACGTTTATAGAATGATTGTAATTTGCGTTAGTTTTAATATAATGACTGTAGTTTTATAATTTATACATGTAATAAATGGTAGTTGACTGAACATCTCGAATATTCAGCTCGATAAGTTGGCCTTATATTTATCACTTTATATTTGATATATTTTGATGAAAAATTAATACTAAAAAATGAAAAGTTTATCATTTAATTTACCTCGTAAAGTTGCTTCTGGGAATATGCATTGTTAATCATTACTATTAATGTTGCGTTCATATTTATTACTCTATATGAAAAAAAAATATATAAAGCTTTATAATAGACAAATTTAAATACAAAGTTTTTGAAATGGTAAGCAATATATATTTTTATAAAATAAAAGCTTACAGCGAGAGATCCATATTAAAATATTGGTTATACAATATCTTATTATAATTATCCATTATTTCTTTAAGTATTGCTTCGTTCTTACCATGTCTCGCAATAGTAGAAAAAAAAATATTAACTACCAAAGTATGAATTTTACGTCGTTTTACTTTTGTTAATATTTCATCACTCTCAAAAAACAAATTTACTAATAACGATAAGTGATGGTGCAGGTAACTATAGACAATTGCAGGATCTTCGGAACAACTAAGAAATTCTAATATTTTATGATCAGATTTCTCTTTATATATATTAATTATTGAGTAAGATATATCCAACCATACACTTCTATCCATTTTTAAACAACCATTACAAAGCGTCCATTTCTGCCACCCAGGCAAAATTCTACGACGTACAGAAAAGAAAATGTTTTTTTATTTAACGTCCCATACAGCACACAAGTTTGCAGCAATATTGCAATGTTATTGCAATATTGCAACAACAACATTGCAATATTGCAATGTTGTTGCAATATTGCTGCAAACTTGTGTGCTGTATGGGGTATTTATTATACATATATCAATAATTAGCATATAATCTTTATAAACAAAATAAGTATAATCGAATATTATAATTATATTAAACATAAATGATAAAAATATAAATAATAAATATAAATAATAGAAAGGAAAGATGGCGGCGTGCGAGAGGACGTTATAAAGTGTGCTCCGGAAAAAAGGTGGAAGAGGTGACAGGGGAGATGAAAGAAAGGAAATGTAGATGGAAAAAGAGGTGCAAGGACACAAGGTGGAGGAATTAAGAAGAAAAGTGAAGGAGAATATGGTATAGGCAGGGGAAGCAAGGGAAAAGTGAGTAAAGGATCGGTAAGGTAGACGGGAGCATGGGTAAAGAAGGAAGAGTGATAGCTGTGGTAGGCGATCTCTCGGACAGTAGGAGAAACAAGAAGGATGGCGAACAAATGGAGCACGTGCGCAAAAGGAAGTAGCACGCTCACGGTGGCACATGGAAACTCGCGCATGGGTATACGTCCCAGCAAACACTGATATATAATTGTTATAATACATTGCTATAATAAAACGGAATATAACAGGTAATATAACGTGTACGTTACATGTAACATCCATGTTAGTTGTAATTTTCCACTCATAGATGTAACATTTTAATATAACATATATTACATTGTAGTTATATTGTAATTATATACCAAATAGCACATTGATGTATTGATAAGTCAGTGCTATCTTGGGATATAATGACAATATAACTACAATGTATGTAATATTAAAAATGTTATATCTATGAGTGGGAAATTACAACTAACATATACATTACATGTAACATGCTTAAGTATATAACATTTATATACTGTGTTTGCTGGGGTTAGAAGCGGTGGTATAGAGTAAGAGGTGGTGTGAAGGTGAAGAAAGATAAGGAAGAGAGAAGTGTGAAGGAAGAAGATGAAAATACAAAAAGGAAAAGGAAGAGAAAAGAAAGCAACGGGAAGAGAAATGCAGAGGAATGAAAGCAAGGTGGTGACGGTTTGAAGAAGCTATATGAGGGACGATGGACAGGGGGTATGAGGGTATGACCAGAGGACAGAGGAATAAAGGTATGATGGTGGTTTGAGGAGGCTAAGTGCGGGACGATGGACAGGAGGTATCCGGGTACAGGGAGAGGAGTGTTGAGAGAAGGTAAAGGGAGTGCAGAGGAAGAGGAGGTAGAAAGGAGGTGAATAAAGGTAGAAAGAGTGAGGGATAAGGGAGCGTAGGGAGGTAAAAGGAAATAAGTTAATGATTACGAGAATGAGAAATAGTGGAAGAAAGGGTGAAAGAGAGCAGCGGCAAGGAGAGAGAGAAGAGAGATAAGAGATGGTGTAAGAAGAAAAAGGCAGGAGACAAGGAGTGCAGAGTAAACAGAGAGGATAGAGGCAAGGAGAGGCAGAAGAGTGAGGATACAAGGGGGAGAAGGAGATAGGAGGCAAGGTGCGCAGCATAAGGAAAGGGAGGAAAGGAAAGGAAGATAGAAGAGAAAGGAGGGTGAAAAATAGAAAGTGCGGGCGCGAGGAGAGGGCAGAGGGGACATGAAGAAAAGAATGGATGGAAATAAATGGAGAGGGAGGGTAGAGGAAAAGAGAGAGAGAGAGAGAGAGAGAGAGAGAGAGAAGACGGAGAAAGAAATAGGAATAGGGTAGGCGAGGAGAAAGGGCAGTAAGGGTAAAGCCAAGGTAGAGTTTGTGGAGGAGGAGGGAGAAAGAGAAAGAAGAAGAGAATGGGAGATGGTGTAGATAGAAAGGGAATAGGTACAGGACGAGGGAGAAGGTAAGAGGAAAAGAGGGAAGGGGGAGAGGAGGAAAGAATAGGGGAGGAGTAGGAGAAGGGAATGAGAATAGAACAGTTTAATTGGGGGGAAGAGAGATGAGAAGATGAAGAGAAGATAAGAAAGAAAAGAGGGGAAAAAGATAAGAGGGAAATATATATATATAGACTGTATACATGTATAAAAAGTCATATATAATTATATATACATATAAATTTTTTCAAGTAATATATCAAATATATCCTTATAAAATTTTAAAAATAAATGTTTATACAAATATATAATAATTTGATTTAAATTTACCTATTTTCTTTGAGGATTCTCTACATGCAATCTCAATGATTTTTGGCCTTTTCAAT